ATTGTTATCCAAATAACCCTCTTTATAGCTATAACCATCGTCATTCATTACGAAACAAATTGGGTTTAATGTTCTGTAAAATGAGCGAAATAATGCTATTCCTGTTTGAGATCCCCGAAGAAAGATTAACGAAATATATTTAATTTTACGCTTGTTAGTTTTTTCTTTTTTTTTTTCGTTCTTATCTGATTGTCGATTTGATCCGTGACACTGAAAATTCCGTTTTTTCTACACACGAATCGTTCGTTTACGGGCTGGAAAATTGAATTAACCGTACGAAACAATGCGCGTTATGATGATTCACATCCTCATTTGTAATATTTCGTTTACCGACCGGACTGCGCTAGTCGCTATCGAGCTTATTACAATAAAAACTATAGTTTACTACACGGCGGGAAGAAAATACGGGTTTAGTGCCGTAAAAGTCGTGTCTAGCCTCTCACTGCAATACGATGACATAATTTATTAGTTGACGCAATTATACGCAGTTCTTTTCTCTAATGAAATAAATATGTTGTTTATACATTTTTAACAATCGTAAATAAATTATCTTAAACTAATTGGAATTAATACGAGAAACGTTCAGAAATGCTTGAGTGTGAATTCCTGACGCACAATATTGTATAATTCTACCGGGAACGTAAACATTTATTATATCATAATAACATTTATACGTCTTCTTTTTTTTCTCTTTTTTTTTTATAACTCCATAATATCGTCATTATAGCACACGACTGCTATTGCACAGATATTGCATAACCGAATATCTCAGGCCCTTTGTGTCGTTTAAGAAGCACATCATATAGAGTGTATATTTTAATTCGGAAAAAGCTATGGCTCGTTCAATTTTCGATAACACCCAAAAAAAAGTAAGTTTTGAATAATATATAAAAAAAAAACCAATAAATAAATAAAAATAAACAAAAAATTATTGAAGATCGGTATCTTAAACCAAAAATACGTGTAAGTTTTACCCAAACCTTTAGTTTAATGATGATTTCTTGATATTTAATAATAAAACATTTTTGAACATTGTCAACAACGGAGCCTAGCGGTACTATAAAGATATTACCAGACGTGACTACTGCAGTGAATGTCAATAACGTGGCCAAAACAAATTATTTGAACGGATTTTCTATTCCGTAAGTTGTTTAGACTGTTTAAATATTATTATTTTTATCAGACGTGAAAAAACTGAACAAGCACCAATTCGTTTCGGGATTTTGATAGTACATTTTTCTATAGCCATTGGATAGTATACGGATTTTTAATAATTTACCCTTTTTTTCTGTTTCATTGGTGTTCTTAAAACGAATCTATGTTAGCTGTAAATTGCATATATAAAATTGAAATTTTATTTTGCTTTTTTTCAAGCCTTTTTTTTTTTTTTTTCACATTTTTTAGTTGATTTTCTTTTTCTTTTTCTTTCAAAAGCGTCGGGAAAACCGGGAATTTTTACACAAAATCGATATTCCTTTAGTACTTGAAACTTTTAAAATATAATATTATATTTTATACACTCAATGACATTTTTAACTGCATTTTACAATGATTTGATATCATTGAATTCAAAATATTTTTACTACTGATATTTTTATTGATGATTTATTATTTCATTTGTTTACGTCCATTTGTCTTAGATCGATTAAAAAAATGTATTGGCAACTACTTACCATTCCAGAGAGTGAATTTTCGACACGTAGCGTTGGAATTAGAAACAGAAGTTTTTGTTAAAAAAAACGTGGTGGTGAGGCCCCTTAAACACTAAAAGTGTTTTTCTCGTTTGTATTACGGGTTGACGGAAAACTCATATAATACATATACAAAATAATATATGTTAAATATTATTGTTTATATGCATTTCACAGTCGGTTATGACTATCAATGTCAGATCATAGTCATTATATAAGGTTGGCTATTACTTTTGATAAAATCCTTTGCGAGTTATACGTAAAAAGCGACGACCATTGTGTCGGTAATAAAGTATTTAAATCCATTTACATATGATATAAATTTAAACTTTTAATAATGTTCTATTTATTTAATTTAATTTATTTAAAAAAAAAAAAATAATAAAAAACATGTCGACACAATGTGGCCCCTTTCAATTTACTACTACTAATTTTTACGACCCGATGTTATATCCTCTCTTAGTCCCTTTGATGCAGCCCTGATGATTGTCGACCGATAATACTGTTAACATATGTTATCGCTGGGATCAAACGGTTTTCTTTTCTGTTATATATATACGATAAAACATGGTACAACGTATAAATTTATCATGAATGAATAGTTGCCCACTTTACCTCGATCTCGTGCCACAGTGGACTAATGTATTTGTATTAGTTCATAATTAAGGGAGTAACTATTGGTTGATTAATCGCAAATTGAACAAAAAATGTGTCGATTGCAAAGTGGTACTGACCTATGAACAATAAATCAAACGACACCAACACTCTATAATAAAAGTTTTCTAGAGAAACTATGCGTCCGGTCTGACCCATCCCAAATGCATTTCTCTGGCAATCGAAATCCGTGTCAGTGTTTTATGCACCGATGTTAAGTGAATTTCTTTGGTTAGCACATAGATTTTTTCACAGAGCACTCGCGGAGCACGTATGATATCTAAGTGTTATCAAGCTTGAAATAGGATCGAACCTTATAACAGAAAATTAAGTCATGTCAGGGGATTATTTCCCTTTTGTCTTTCGATAATAGAGTAAAAAAATATGTCATTTCAACATTTGAATACGATAAGTTGGTTAACAACTGTTGTATAAAGTACAGAGTGTGCCACGAAAATGTTCTAATTTCGATATAATGTTGTTGATAAATATTGATATAACTCGTGTATTTATATTTAACTCTTGTGGCTTAAACCTACATTGAAAAATAATACTCATAAATATTTCAGTATGAATTAGAAAAATGACTATATATATATATATACAGAAAATGGTTTGATAATCTGTAAGATTTGAAGATAGGGTGATTTTTACATATTTATGTAGTAATCTCAACTACAGTAGGATAATTGATATTTTATCATACTTGAAATAATAACGATGATCGAAGTTTTAAACATATCGTATTGATTTTAACGATCATAAAGTACATAATCGTAATTTCTCGTCTGATGTGTCATATGTGTTGTAAAACAGTTTAAACGCCTATCCACGTTTGTGTATCGCCGCAGCGCTCTACTGCAGATACGAATATTGTATTCGATTAATTTTTTTTTTGTATTAAAGTGTTCACCAAACCGTGGCCATACAGATTCGAATCGGTTAAAAGTACTTCGTGCGCTGCCATTCCAAGAGCAAGATCAAACTCTATGTTTTGATCATTGTACCGAACGCGATAGCGCGAAACGCGTAGAACCAACCGTACGCCGCAAGCGTGTACTATACGATATGGTGCGTGCGATTGTAAATGAGTTGACGATATCCGGTGGCGGCGGAAAATTTATTTTTTAACGAAAAAGTTACTTGTGCCCAGTGGCCACCACCGCCGGGTCAAAGTTATGGATTCTGAATGTTCGATTGTACGTGATATCGTACGTAAGTGTTAAAATCAATGGGTCCAAACAGAACGGTACACTATAATATTTTATGTCGAGCGTACGGAATCGCGCATTAAACTTGTGACGTACAAGTACAGCGCTGCCTGCACACCCTGTTTTACAGCGGTCGGCGACGATTCTGTGGCGCGAAACGTCCCAGCGACGAAAAGCATCGAAAGCGGTTTTCGCTGCGATCGTAACACTGAACGTCCGCCACTCGGTCGTCTAATCGCGATGCGCACCGTTGTACGGCTCGGACAGTATTGCATTAAACCGCGTGACCGTATACCTTATAGCTGTTCGTTAATTGTTCGAATGGTCTCCGAACCGACGACCGGTCCTAACGACTCGACGACTGGCTCGTTTACGCGTCGCGAACAAAACACAATGCGATCGTTGGATTCGGTGCAAACGATTCGGCGTGCCCGATAAAGGTCGCGTTGATGATAAAGCGTGATTCACACATATCCGACACGACACAGTACCGCACTGAAACGTAACGGCACCGTTAATTCACACCTGTCCGGCACGGCGGAATACCGGACTGAAACGTAACGGCATATTATCATTCATGTGTTAGAATTTTGTAATTTATTTTGAATTTTTTTAGTAGTTGTTGATACCTGGTAATAAGAATGGCGGAAAAAATAATATGAGCATAGTAAAAAATCGATATAAAGTTTCTTATTCCTTGAATAAATTTAATGAGTGGATTAAAATGTTGTATTTTTGATAAACTAACGTGACGATTACAAATTTTACTTGAAAAGGAATATAGAAAATATAAATATTTTCAGTTCTAAATAAAATTATGTAAATTTGAATAGTTTTTCACCGATGTTTGTCGGATTCTACGTTCACACATAAATTACTTGTAAATTAGTTTTATGGAATAAATCAGATTATCGTTGTATCATAACTTCATTTGATTGTTCATTTTTATTTTACTTTAATATACATATTTAATATATTATAAAGTAATTTAAATTTTTTCAATTTCTTAAAACTTACACAACCCAAAATTGGATCGCAACCTACCGGTTGAAGACCATTGATATATAGTATCAATCTACGATATATATTGTGTGGCTGAGAATTACAGACACGAACGTGGGAAGTACACCCCCCCCACCATTACTATTACCACTACTACCACCACCCGAAATATCGAAAAACATTTAAAAATTAAATTATTGGAATTTCAATTTAAATACATAGTTATAAAAAAGTTTTTCTTGAGACTTACATCTTATTTTCTCAAGGCCCGACCTTAAAAATTGATCGTACTCGAAGATGGTGCGATGTATAAGTACATATGCACATTGATTTTATTAAAATGGTTTAAACGAGATACGAACAGTTGGTATTTACAAACTAAACTTTGATTACATTTCATGGAAAGTGTTTCAACTACGGTTTATATTCCATTTATGTATAGGATGCAGAGTATACGTCCACAAGAAATGTTTTTTAATGAATCTTTGCAAAAAAGAGAAAGCTAAGAGAAAAACGGTCGGCAGTCCCCGTGAAGTGGACACAAAAGAATGTATTGACACCCGCAACGTAGAGGTCGAGAAAAAGAGAGACACATATGTGTTATAAAACGCCGTAAAGCATCTGGAGATGGTCGTGGAAAATCCTGTTCTCAAATAGCCAAAGTGAGTAAAAAATATGGACGAATAAACTCTATATAGTTGCGGCCGAATGTTTTCTACGGTTTGTGTTTTTCGCGAACATGTAATATTTACGACGGTTAGTTTTTGTGATACCGGAGTGCCAAGCATGCTGCGGCGTTTGTACGTTTTAAGAATTGTTGTTAATAAGAAAACGGAACAGTTGAAACATTAAAACGCGTTCGATGACCGCGTGCTAAGACTCAACTCGTATCTCGTGTTTTTCCAGGATTTGTTGAAAACCCCGAAGACGCGCGTTCGAGATACGACCAACGTGGAAAACGGAGTCGGTGACTGGACAACGACGAGTTCTGGAGCAACGTCGAGCGGTAATTTACCAGTTTTGCATGCCTCGATGGTGCCCGAGAGATCTTCGTCAAAGGCATCGCTCGTCGCCAGTGGTGTCGAAAACGATCGCTCTGCGAATTCAACGTCACCGGAATCGACGCGCGTGGACCGGAAACAGAGAGCCGAACGCAGGCAGAAGTTGTAAGACGTAATCTCGGCAATGGTGGCCGACAAAAGGAATCGGTCGAGCGTCGTCACAGTCACGGAGGGACCGATGTCCGATTGTCCGATGTCCGCAAGCGAAACACAAAAACGGGACGCAAGCGTAGGACGATCCATTAGCGGCAGCGACGAGGTTAACGGCGCGCGGCCACTGTCGTCGCGAGATGTATCCACGCAGTCACTGCCATTGCGAGATGCGTCCACACAGCCACTATCGTCGCGATACGCATCCATACGGCCACTGACATTGCAAAACTCATCCACGCAGCCACTGCCATTGCAAAACTCATCCACGCAGTCACTGCCGTTGCGAGACGCACCCTCAGACGAGAAAACGGTTGAAGAAGCGCTCGAAAAAACGTCATCTCGCCACGGGCACGCGAACCTTACGTGGTCGCTGTGGCCGGACGATTTCGTGGCCTGTGTGGTACGCGAGGCACTGAAGACCGGAGAACAACAACAGTTAAACGAATTGTTCACGTGGATCGCAGATATCGGGTCGGTGAAACGAAATCCGTCACAGGGGAATATCGTCGTCGATGAGCTATCGTCGACCGACCCTCCGGCGACCGTGGCCGCAAGCAATGGATCACCTGAGGCCAGTGACGGAGGGTCTGCTCGCGCCGAGGACGTAAAGTCCGAATTGTCTGCTCACAACCCCGTCAAAACATCGTCATATTCGATCAGAGATTTCGACGTGTCATGGATTTTCAAGAAGATCTATAACTGCGTGGGCGTGAAGCTGACGGCCATTGGCGGAAAAACAAGCACCGAAAAAAAATGGTCGGATGACTTGTTCGCGAGGATCGTCGAAGTGCTACCGGCCGAATCGAAGTCGACGGGGGCCGTCGTCGACTTAAAAGCGATCGGAGAGGACACTCAGTCGTCCGACGCGCGCCTCGACGATATCCCATCGGTTTTCGGGTCACGCGATCCCAACGAAACTACTTCTTATGCCTCGGATTCTGAGTCCACAGACAGCTATCACACCACTCTCACGTCTCCATTGTCGTCCGCGAAGGACAAGAGTGTATCCGATGAACTGATGAGCACCAGGTCACAACGGTTGAGCAGCCCGGTCAAGCGGATCCCGGCAGCAAAACGCCTAAACTCCACCCCCAGCGAAACGGGATCATTACGCGTTATCGTCAAAGAGGGATGGATCGATCGTCCCTTCAACGTTCGAAAACTAAATCCACGATCAACACCATCCCGACATCGTTTGTAGTATGAGCCCGTATCTCCCGTATTACAATTGTCTTGATTTATACCGTCATCCTATCGAAACGAATGTTTGAGCATATTTTAATCGCAGACTAGTTTCACAAATTTCTACTATAAACCATTCTCAATTTTCATCGGTCATATGTATTTGAGTGTTCTGAGCGTAAAAACTCCTCTTATTTAATTTCTCTTATCATTATAATTATTTTGTAAATATAGGGTGTCTCAAAAATAACGCAGTATTTAAATCTGCTATGAATTAAATTTATTTCTTTTAAAAAACCATAACAAATATATCATTTTTTCCAGTAGAAGTTAATGTTTAGCAATGAAAAACAATAACAAGCATATAACCCTCCCTACTAGCCCTATAGGCGATTATTCTTTCCAGAAAATTTACCATCACTGTATAACACATTACTCCATCAAGTTCGTTGAGAACATGACGAATTTCTTGCTTAAGTTCCAAGACATTTCGAACTTTGATCTGGTTAACTCGTGACTTAGTGAATTCCCATTATAAAAAATCACACGGCGTCAAGTCGCAAGATTAAGGTCTTGTTTGACTTTTAGTTCCCCAAAGCTTGTGGTAGCTTTAGCTAATATGCTATTGTAATCAATGTAATGTAGTTTAATTTTGTAAATAAAATAATCATGTGAAGATTTCTGGATATTGTGAGTATTGATTTAACATTACTGAAAGCACATATGTTGCTGACAAGAAATTGTATACAAAATAGAAATTTTGATTTTAATATATTTAGAATTATGAATGTAGTAACTGAAAATGTATTAAACTTGTTCAAACATATTCAAGTAGGATTAACTATTCCTATAAGCTCGGCTATTTGCGAAAAATCTTTTTCATCTATGCGCCGAATAAAGAATTGGCTTAGGAAAGCATGGAACAAGCAACATTTACAGATTTGTTAATAATTAATATTTGGAGAGATCTAAGTACTAAAATTAATAAATATAAAATAATAAATAATTTTGATAAGTCTCAAAAGCATATATCGGTAATGTAATATTTAAATTAAAATAAATAATGTATTTACTTGTATTTAAATATACCTACTTTAAATTTGCGTTTTATTGTAATTTTGATTTATGCATGAATGGTATAGTGAGAGGCAAAGCCACTACGGATCAATTTGATCAACATAAATCTAGCACCCTTATACATTTAGCTCATACTGCATTATGTAAAACTAAATCGACAATGATATAACAAATTACGTAAAACTGCTCAAATTTAATTAAATCAATGTTAAAAATAATAAAATATATTTTTCTCAAATGGCTTTCTTACGGCCAAATAGTCACACAGTATTTACTTACACTTTGATACGTAAATATTGTTCATCTGTTATTGGTCAGTTATATACGTGTGTATATTAATTTTCTACACGTTCGGTACACAAAATCTCATGATCTTAATCCTCATATTCGCGCATACACCATTATCTAGGTCAGTAGTTTTCAAGACCTCCATTTTTTATATTTTTCTAATGCGACGCCTTCAAAAAAAAAAAAAAAAAATGTTATTTTATTCGTTAAAATGTGATTTTTATTACCGATCAAATATTTACATAATAAATAATTTTGATTGATTTACATTTAAAAATTTCACAAAATAAATAATTAACTTTATTTTATTTTTAAAGAATATAGAAAAATTATTTCATCGATTACTTTTGACGACTCTCAAATATACGAGAAAATTATATTAGAAAATGGTCTAGGATTAAAACAAATGAGGATCTGTTACTATTAGTGTCATTTGATCTGCTTATTTCTAGTCTTAGAAAATTACTACACAATAAAATTTTACCATTTTCAACAGAAATATTAAAACTACTGACTGCAGTTGAACCAATAACACACGATTTGGTAGAAAATAGTTCAAGTGACGAAAATTAATAAAAGCTATGGTTATTATTAAATTTTGTATATTATAATATTAATTATAAATAATTTTAAAAGTTGTTATGTCATATTGTAATTTTTAATTTAAACATATTAATACAAATTTTTTTTTTTATTGTATAAAATGAATCAGCATTAAATGAGCTCCATTCTTCAATAAATAATACATTTTCAAAGATCAGATTTAATTTAAAATAATCCAATACAGGACAGAAATACTGTATAGTAAAAAATATCATTAAAATGAATAAAAACGTGTATAAAATATAATAAAACACTTTAAATTTAAATTTGTATGTTTAATTAACAAAAAAAATTAAAAATTAAATTATTTTATCGAGTATATAGTTTTGAGCAACTATTTTCATATTCTGCAACACCGACAACTCGATTCTGTTGGAATATACGTATAGACAACGTATAGATCACAATGCATAACGTTATTGCGGAGTGAAAAATAATAATAAACACGTGGTATCAATAGTTTTGATATGGACGCCATATAATAATTTACGTGGCCGGTTCACTGCTTGATGATTCGTACGTCGAAAGGTACAGACAAATATAATACTTGGACCGTAAAACTGTGGTGTTATAATTGAGTCGATAAAAAAAATTAAAATTAAAAATTATTACAATGAACAGTAAGAAATAGTAAACAAGTGAAATAAGTAAGAACATTTCGTGCGCAAATAGTTGAATATAAAGTACGAGTTTGAATTGGTTGAAAATAATTTTTCTCGTGCGATTCGAACGAAGAAAACATAATGTAAGAAACGTACAATTTGAACGACCTGTACACATGAATGTTATCCGAACACGGCGAACACGTTACGTATAATATTACTGGTAAATATACGATTTGAGATTAAGTGTTTAAGGATTTAAATGCGGTTTGACTGGTCCTATCAAAATGTTGACGTTTTTCGATACATATTTTTATTATTTTTTTTTATTGCGTCTACATATGAAATAATAATTATAATAAAACGAAAACAATGATCGAAGTATGATTTGAAACCAAACCAAAGCGCATTATAACTGGTGATACCCATATGTTCATAGCTTGGCCGTAGTATTATGGTCTCGATTATGATATATAACGATGTAAAGTCGTTTTAATTTATCAAAGCAAAACGAAAGTACTAAAATGTTAAATATCAAGGTTTAAATTTGTACGTTTTTATTTCTAAAAGATTAAAATTAATGTATAAAATTAACAGCATCAGATAGAATAAAATATTTATACTATTATTTGATCATTAT